TTTTAAAAAATATATTTTTAGTTGTAGATGGACACAATGCCTTTATTTTATTTATTTATTTTTTATGTGGTGCTGAGGATTGAACCCAGTGCCTCATACACACTAGGCAAGCACTGTATCACTGAGCTACAACCCCAGCCTCTTGACTCTACATTATTTATTCTAGAAGTTGCATAGTTTCTGGTCTAATTCCAAGGTGTTTGATCCATTTTGAGTTGATTTTTGTGCAGGCTAAGAAATAAGGGTCTAGTTTCATTCTTCTACATATGGATAACCTGTTGTCTCAGCAGCATTTCTTAAAAGAGCTCTTTTCTCCAATGTATGTTTTTGCACCTTTGCCAAGGATCAGATGATGGTAGATGTATGGGTCTGTCTCTTTGTCTTCTGTTCTGTAGTAGGTATGTGGGTCTGTCTCTGTAGTAGGTATGTGGGTCTGTCTCTGTGTTCTGTACCACTGATCTATGTATGTTTTTATGCCAGTACCATGCAGTTTTTATTACTATAGCTCCATATTATAATCCGAAGTCAGGTATTATGGCCTCTAGCATTGCTTTTTTTGGCTTAGAATTGCTTTGGCTCTTATCAGTCTTTCTTTCAAATGAATTTTAGGACTTTTTTAAAAATTTCATGAAGAATATCACTGGTATTTTGATGGGGATTGCACTGAATATATATATTGCTTTTGGTAGAATGGCCATTTTAACAACATTAATTCTGCCTATCCATGAACATGGCAGGTCTTTTCATTTCTGAAGTTTTCTTCAATTTCTTTCTTCAATGTAAACCTACTTTGTAAACACACAATGCATATTATTTCTCCTCCTCTTTTCAGTTGTCTTATTAAAAGGGACAAAACAGGCTTTAAATCTCTACTCAAGTAACAGACAACTGATTCATAATGGATGTAGGCTTATTACTATAAAAGCTTTTCCAACCATTTTCGAGAAAGGGGAAAATCACAAAGGAATTCATTTTTGCAAAGTAGGGACTTTGCATTCCACCATCAATTTAGTTTGATACAATGTTAGAGCAGGGAGCAAAATGTAAATACCAGAAATCTTTAACTACAAAGTACTTGCATATTTTCTTAGTAAAAGGAATGCCTGGGATTAGAAACAATTTATTTCAGTCTGGCTCAGCGTTTAATAGTTTAAGAGTAAAAAGAACAGCACAAAGATGATTGCTATTATGCAAAGAACAGATCTTTTAAAACCACAGAGGATTACTGTTAGTTGAAAAATGAAGCAACACTTAGATGCTCCTTACATAGTCCATTTCACACTTGTGAACAACTAAATGCCATTCAAATGATGAAGTTCCTGGCACTTTTCTGAATCAAGTATAAACCTTACAGGGAAATAAAGAGAACTCTTGGGAGGCAGAGGTGAAATGCAAGCAAGATGTCTATTAGGGATCTTTTTTTTGGGTATTTTTTAAAGAATACATCTGAATATATATATATATATATAAAGAATAAACCTGTTTTACCTTGTTATCATATTTGGGAAGTTTACTTTAAAAATGAACTTTCCACTAAGCCAGCTTACAATTTTTTTTCAATCTCCATGGTTTAGAATAGGCAAACATTCATATGCATTTTAGTATGGACAGGCCCAAAGTATAAAGTACATTTTCTGGGTATAGCTACAGATAAAATTTTTTAAATGGTGATTAAAACAATTTTGTGTCTCAAGTTAATTCTCCTTGTTCATGGAGAAATATATTCCTTTTTTATTCCTTCAGGTGACACAGACAAGAAAGTGAAAAAGCAAATGAAATTCCAGGAATCAGATACTTCCTGGACAGATAATGACATTGCCTCAGAAAACCTATGAGTGTCACTATTCCCTTAGAATAACCAAAAAAACCACCCACCAATAATGGGTTCAAACTCAGAAATATTTATTTTTTAAAAAAGCATGCAAAAGAATACACCTTAGCTTTACATGTCAAAAAATTCTTGTTGCTAAGTAGGAAATCATTTTAACAGCAGCTTTTAGAGTCAAGTCTGCACAATCAAGATTCATGTTGTTTTTCACCCTTGGTAACCAAAACATATTTCTGAAGACCCTCTGAAAGGAAAAAGTCTTATTCAAAAGTGATTTATCTTATTAAATGGGGAAATTGGTAGTGGGGAAGGAGAAATCCTAGAATCATTTTTTTTTTAAAAAAAAGATAATATAGTCATGTTATAGCAAGATATCAGGTTAATTTCATTTACAGCAAGAAATCATCTTGTTCTATCCTTACAAAGATATTCTATAAAGGAAAATAAAAGGTGGAATTACAAATGATTTAATAATAGATACTAGACTCTGATTCTTATATGGTCACCTTGTTTTACAAGGCCTTATGTAGAAAAAAA